TATTTGTGAATAGAAATACTAAATTTTAGTTTAAATCAAATTTAAAGCAAAAAAATGGGTGAGCGACTTTACTCGCACTGAGCGAAATAACCCCGTTTTACGGTATTTTAGTTTTTATTAGTTATTCTTTATTAATTAATTGTAGATAAAAAGATTGTATCATCATTTAGTAATCTGACCCTATTTTAAAAAAAAATTCTGTTAATTAATTACTTTTGAATTACTTATCTTAAATTCAAAAAACACATTGAATTTTTAAACTTTACACAATTTTCTACTTTCTTTTTAACAAAAATTATCACTTATTAAATAAAACCTTGACAATTTAATATTTATTTACATTTTAAGTGCTATTTGTAAAGAAACAACTTGACATTATCTTTCACATTCTCAACCCTGATAAAAGAGAAGTTGGTTTTCAATATTTTCATTTGTCGAAGCTGAACTTCCTGCCGCAAAATGGCCGCTCTCTCTCTGATTGGCTGATTTAATAATAATTTTAATTTTCTTGCATTTTTATGTTTTGGCGTATTTCGCAAAATGCAAAAAAGGCTTTCTCTAAATGTTCTCAATTTTCAGACTTTTATAAAAAAGCTATATGTTTCCATGAATATGTAACGATTTCTGGTGAAAGAAAACTAACGCGGAAAAAATTAATTTTCATTTTTTTATGCTAATAGATAGTTTTTGAGTTGTTCTTTCATTTTCATGTTTCAAATTTTTTTTTTAATTACACTTTTTGTTATAATGATTTAAATTTATTAAAATGTTTTTGTATTATTATATATTTATAAAAAAATAACAATATTAGGAAGTAATTTATAATTAATATAAAAACATTAATTACTAATTACATTATTAATTAATAATCTAATAATAATTAATAGTCTTTTCAAAGAATTGAAAGGTAACTTTTAGGTGTGTACTATATTGTCAAAACTACAGTGTATCACACTGCTAAAACTGTAGTATTTTATGTTAAAACAGGTGTGTTCCAATGGCGGTGCAACTCCTGCTACAATAGCATGACTTTACAGCCGTCGCGGCAGCTTTTTTTCAGTGTATAGGCTTAAATTAAAGCTTCATTTATACACTTAAGACCCGTATGCGCAAGACAAAAAAATTTGGGTAAAGACCCCAAAAAATGTGTAATTTTTGAAACTATTATTAATTAATGTCACCCTATTGAAAAAAAACACGTATAATTATACGTATAATTGTACGTATAATTATACGTATAATTATACGTATAATTGTACGTATAATTATACGTATAATTGTACGTATAATTATACGTATAATTGTACGTATAATTATACGTATAATTGTACGTATAATTATACGTATAATTATACGTATTATTATACGTATAATTATACGTATTATTATACGTATAATTATACGTATAATTATACGTATTATTATACGTATAATTATACGTATAATAAGACATACGAATTTGAAACAAGAATTATACGTATAATTATACGTATAATAATACGTATAATTAATTATACGTATAATTATAATTCTATTAAAAATAGAATAATAGAATAGAATAATAATAGAATAATTAGTAGCAAAATTGCGCTGAAAATTTTTAGAAATTTTAAAATGCAAATTAAATTTCACGAAAAAAAATATCGTCGAATGTCAATTCAAGCAGTCACCCATCCAAGTACTAACCGCGTCCAACGTTGCTTAACTTCCGTGATCTGATGAGAACTTGTTCCTTCGCCTTGGTGTTTCCGCTGTCTTGTCTTGATTAATAACTTTGTCGTATAAGTATCACTAAAAGTGAGGTTAGGTGCGATACAATACTTATACGACAAAGTTATTAATCAAGACAAGACAGCGGAAACACCAAGGCGAAGGAACAAGTTCTCATCAGATCACGGAAGTTAAGCAACGTTGGACGCGGTTAGTACTTGGATGGGTGACTGCTTGAATTGACATTCGACGATATTTTTTTTCGTGAAATTTAATTTGCATTTTAAAATGTCTAAAAATTTTCAGCGCAATTTTGCTACTAATTAATCTATTCTATTCTATTATTCTATTTTTAATAGAATTATAATTATACGTATAATAATACGTATAATTATGCGTATAATTATGCGTATAATTATACGTATAATAATACGTATAATTATACGTATTATTATACGTACAATTATACGTGTTTTTTTTCAATAGGGCAAAGTTTGAATATTTGAATATTAATTTAATATTGATTAATTTTTGTGATTATATATGGATCAATTAATAATTTATTTGAAAATGACTTGAAGCCAATTTAAAAATTATTTAAAAATCTTTGGAGATGATTTGAAAACAAATATTAAAAAAATAAGGAAAATTCGTTCCAATCAACATTCATAGGATTTATTCTGGTAAATTTTGTTAATTTCAGTAAAAATAATCTTTCTTAATTTTCTTCTATTTTGGGCTATATTTAAAATCAAAATTTAAAATGTTTTAATTTAAAATTATAATTCAACCCTATTTTTTATGTGTGTCTTATCTCGAATGTAGAATCCTTATTCTTTATAAAATAAGTTCTATTTAATTTAGTTGCATCAAATTGTTAACCTCAACATTCAAATATTAAAATCATTTTTTATATAAATTAAATATTGATTGTTTATTTTCTTTAATAAATAAAAAGAAACAAATCACCCCCTCTACTATTATTCATCTATGGGATTGAGTTGCCATTTATTATTTCCGGAAGAAAATTAATTTGATTCTATTTTCAATTTATGATTATTTTTTTAGTCTATTTTTTTTATTTTTTTTATTCGTGCCCAATGACAGGACTAAAGCCCAAATTTAGTCTTCCGAAGTTAACTTAAAAAATATTAAGGTTACAGAGTCTTAAAGTTTAAGTTATGAGCTTTAATTTAAGCCATTATATAAGGCTCCATCACGTCAGGTTAAGGAGAAAAAATACTGAAAACTCTTAAAAACACGGTTATTGGAGACTTTACCCACACTTTACTTAAAATCCTGACGCGATACGCAATTTTGAAACCAGGATCATGTCTAAGACATAAAAATACATTGGAAACCACTCTGATAACTAAAAAAATACCTTCACTGAGAAAAAAATGCTATTGAATAAATGAAATATTTGTTTGTCGCATCAAACGGCATATTCAATATCGTTCGAAGATTTTTGCTACTAATTCAATAGCATATGCTATAAATTATTACGCCATAGATTTAATAGCATGCACTTTTGTTAACATAGCATATTTCGTGCGTTTGATTTGAAGAATATTTGAAGTGAAGAAATCATGCTATTCAATTCAAAGTATACACAATAAATGATATCACAGATTTTATTGAATTAATTTCTATTTTACTTTAAGTCAATAGTATCATGCTAATAATAATTAATTTTTTTAAACAAATTATTTACCAAATAATTCATGTTTCCTGATATTCATATCTAGAACATATCTTCAAATTTACTCTTCTTTTTATACATTTTCACGCACTTCGAATTCTTAACTTAGAGTCGAAGTTTATAATACATGTCACATATTTCGAAAACCTAACAAAGTACATTTTTGAAAATAAATTTGTGCGGACGGGGAGTCGAACCCGGGATTTCCGGACGCTTGCGCGAGACCCTAACCACTATGAAACACAACCATTTGTAAAAGGAAAAACAATCTTCCTCATACTGTACAGGCAAAATTTTTTGTATTCAAGCGATCTCATTGGCTGACGCAAATGGCGGACTAATTTATAAAGTTATTCATTGAAATTTTTGAATTATAGTTTTCTAAATGAACATACTACTTTAAAAAAATCATCAAAATAATATTGTAAGACATTATTATAAAAGTAAAAGCTCAAAAAAGGTGAATGCATTTTAGTACAAAAATTTCTAATTCCACATAATTCAATAAATGGTTCTATGATTCAACTACGTATACTGTCAATTTTATAGCATCTGCATTTGAACGTATGTGAATATGCCGTTTATTATAACAACAGCATGTGCTATTGAATCGAAAACAATTTGTATTGTTTCAAATATACTTTTATACAAATTAAAAACTTTTTTTATTTAAACTTAAATTATTAAAACTTTTTTATTTAATTAATGAGTACACTTATTTGAAATCAAATAATGTTTCTTTGATAAAATAAATTCTACTTTCATCACAACTACTGGAAATGTTTCTATAGAAAACATTAGGTTTTTAGTTTAAAATCATGGATTGTTCTAGATTAATATATTTTAATTTGATTCAAAAAATATGTATGAGTATGTCAAAATATATTCTCATTTTTATTGCCGTTCAATATAAAATGTTTTTCCGTATTGTTATATTTCTTAAAGTAACAAGTTGTGTTATTTAAAGTTGAGAGATTTGGAATCGTTAAAAGATTAGAAAACATTCAACATAAGCCAAAATTGGTTTCATTTTTTAGAAACTTATCCGCCCTTGAGAATAGGTGTGTGATGTCCCATTTTCAAAATTCAAAATGGCGGATCCATTATGGTGGTCGAAAACTTTAAGTTATTAATTTTTTATAAAACTTGGCATCTAGGGGTTTTTGGGGTCAATGATAATGAATATGATGTGAGATTTTCAAAATTCAAAATGGCGGATCCAATATGGCGTTTGAAATTTATAAAAATTCATCGAATTCTCCGTTTTGTATTTTAAAATTCTAACATTAGATTCGTACTCAGCGACCTAAAAAACTCCTAGATAATATTTAGCAAAACGACCAGACACGGTTTTTTTTTTGCCCTAGTTTCCGAAAGTGTAATTTATTTGTGTGAAAAAAAGTTGAATTTTGGCACACAGTGAAATAGTATTGTTCTTAAAACTTTTTCGAAATGATTTAGTTTCAGTCTCTTGTTTGAGACGGCATAATTCTTAACCTAGGTTAAATTATGCTCTTCTTTATCATTCAAAGGATATCTATTAAAATACTTACAATTTTTTATACTTTTGAGTTACTCTCGATCGAGTATGACTGTACAAAACAGCATTGCTGCAACACACTGTAGGTAAAAGAATACAGCAGGGAAGCATGGTAAGTTACCAAATCTTCAGCGATTGGTAACACACCACTAGCAGCAAAAGCAGTTTCTATTCTAAAAATGAGGTGGCGCACAGTGTACGATTTTGTCATTTTCTTTGTCAAAACCTAATATCTCTTGAACAAGTGGATCAAATTTAATGATCCTTTGATTAAAATGCAGCTAAGTAAATGTAGAATAAAGGAAAATTATAAAGAAATTCCTGATCTCAATTTTTGGGCTTTAAAAACTTCAGCAAATTTAGTAATTTTGTTAATGGTAAATAGAAGTATATAAATCGGTAAACCATAATAAAACTTAATAAAATCATATTTTTTTAAGTATTAAAGGTCGCTGAATAAAAAAATAATTTTTAAATTTGAATATTTAAAATGGCAGACAAAATTAAAAATAAAATTACTGAAATTCCTCAAAGCTGTCTGATTTGAATAAAACTTGGTATTCCAATGTTTTTGAGGTCGCTGAATTAAAATATGATGGTCAAATTAAAAAATTTTGAATGGCGAATCCAATATGTCGGACTGAACTTTTAAAAATGCTTGGATTTGAACAAAACTAGTAAATTTAAAGACGTTTCCTTCTTTTTCATAATCTTTAAAACATTTTGGAGAATATTTTGTGATATATGGAATTTTTTACCCAGCGTATTAGGGAAGACCATCCTCGAAGAGATGTGCCCAAAATTTTTCTTAAATACTGATAACTCTTTGCACTTACTGCAACTTGTTACTTTCAATTTTGTAGAGAATGAAAATGACAATTCAAATGAAATGACCCATTTAATAACAAACAAAGAACAACAAATATTGTAGAGATTACAAGGCAACCTGGAGATGGGACATTTTTCTACTTGCGATAATTGTGTTGCGCCAGCTTAGTAACTTGTTATCGTAATCTTGTTGCTTGCTGCAGTTGCCGTCCTAAGAAAGAACTTACATAAGTGACATTTTTAACAAAATTGAGTTTTTGGTACGTAAAAGAAAAGAGGAATGAAAAGCTGCATTTAATTGTGTCAACCAAAATTAAAAATTTTAATTAATGACTGAATAAAACGATCATTAAAAATCAAAGAAAGTGAGGAAAATGAAAAAAAAAAATAAAAACTTACACATTATACTTCGCATGCTCAGAAAAATGCGTACGAGTCCACGTGCGCGGCTATGAAATACGTCGAAAAATTTACACAAGTTGACTTGCGTTCTTTGTCATTTCTGATAGGTAGACGAGCAGGACCCTCGTGTCAGAAATAAAAACATCGTATGTTTCTACCTTGGACTTATATAAGTTTTTCTCTTTAAAATTTCCCCGAGGCACGAATACAATAGGGAGGTTCAAAAAAATTTTTTTTTAAAGTTTTTCCAAGTCTTAACCGCTTAATTTCTTTTACATGGTAAAAAAAAATTTTCCTAATTTTTTCAGATATTTGAAACAATTTCTAGAGGTCGCTATTATCGCACAAAGTACGAAAATCCATTATTTTCTAAAGGACATATATTTAATTCGATGTTTGGTGTTAAAAGCATTTCAGCATTGGGTAAAATAATGTTTCAAGAACTGCTCTTTCAGATTCTGCAATAAAAATTGAAATAGCTTTAAATACACCACTTTGACTCAACCAAAAAATACGCTTTTTCAACAATTTTTAGTAAAGAATAGAAATTTTTTTAAGCAAATTAAAATACAGTAGGGAATAATAGGGGAAGGTGGGGGGAATTAAAGCCCCTTAAGGAAAATGACTAAAAAAACCGACTTATTCTTATGATAAAATATGGTTTCGGTCATATTTTACTCCTTTTGTTATTTATCTTTAACTATAATTAATTAGAAACTAAGAGAAAGAAAGGAAATTTGCAAAAAAATTTTTTTTTAAAAAAATGCATCTTCTCCCATTACCCCACCTGTGGGGTATTGGGAGCTCTTACTTAAAATTCCAATAAAACGATAAAATTTTTAATTTCTTTCAATATTTTTTTATTTTGTCAATAATTCTTGACAGATGAACATTTTACAAAATATTTAAGACATAAAAATAACCTACAGCTTTTTTAGTATTAAAATATCCAATAATAACACATTTAAGATAATAAAACACAAATATGGATTCTTATCAATTAAATATGCAACAATATTAAATTTTATAAATGAATCTTGTTCAATTATCAAAAAAATAAGAAAAGCCATATCGAGATAACGAAACTCTGCTGGCTGATACAATTTTCTCATTACCACAAAGAATTTTAACATGTATCCAAATCTACATATATTTATCTCTAATAAAATCACAAAACATAATTAAATAATAAATTTTTAACAATTTAATTTGATCTCTAGAAATATTTTCCATTTAATAAGAAAAATTCAAAAACTTGATTTTTCCTTGTAGTTTCTAAAAAATTTTTAGAAATGTGACCATTTGTCTTGATATGACATACAGGAAGACTGTCCAAGTTTCCCGAATTATTTCTGCGAAGTTCAAAGTGTCTATGTACTTGAAATTAAAATGCTCCCATTACCCCACCTTCCCCTACTACTCTTGAACTGAAAAAAAAATATTTAGTTTTTTTAAATGTCGGTCTGACAGATGATATGGTGAAGTGCTTCAAAAATGTATCGCCGTGCGGTAGGCACTATAACTCGGTCCAGATTTGAGCTAGATCAAAATAAAAAAAGAATTAGTTTCTGCAGCTCAAAGTTTAGCAAAATACGTATCCGTTTAAAAAAAATGCACAAACAATTAAAAATTACCTCTAATCAGCTACGCCGGGTCCAAATAACATATCATTTCTATGCCTATAAGGTGTACTTTAAGCAAAAAAATTTTTTTTTGATTTTTTAAAATTTCAAAGTGGTGTAGGTAACCCCTTAAGGAAATAAAAGATATAGGTACTTTCTGATAAAAAAAATGACATTTTTTAAACATTGCCCGTCGTAAATGATTTTTTTGTGGTTTTACAGTATCAGGATACACAGAAAAAACTTAATCTCAAATTAAGTACAAAATTTATACTCAATTTGATACAGGCAGGCAGATGGCGCCACGTTCTATGTCATTTAACATGAACTCATTCTGAGATGCAACAAATATGAGTCCAACTTTTTTTTGTGTTTGTTTGAACGCTTTCAATATCGCTTTCGCAAGTCCTGAGCTGCATAAAGTTTATTTATCGATTTCAAAATTCAACATAACGGGCTTTAAAATGGCAGTCAAGAGGCTAAAAATGTTGTTTAATATCTATTTCATTAAATCTATTTTAATTTTTATTTCAGAATCTGAAAGAGCATTCTTGAAACATTATTTTACGCAATGCTGAAATGCTTTTAACACTAAATATCGGATTAAATATTTGTTCTTTATATATAATAATGGATTTCCGTACTATGTGTGACAATAGCTACCTCTAGAAATTGTTTAAAAAATCTGAAAAAATTAGGAGAATTTTTTTACCATGTAAAAGAAATTAAGCGGTTAAGACTTGGAAAAATTTAAAAAACTATTTTTTTGGACCACCCTAAAGTACATCTTTATATTCGAAGAAGTTTCTCACCATGCAGGCATTGTATATGCGTAAGTTTTTATTTCTGATATGCAGCTCGGGCTCGATGGTTCGTTACGAACAGACATCGCAAGTCACTATATGTAACTTTTCCTTTCGTTTTTTCAAGTAAGTAGACCACGCGTGTCCATTTTTACATAGAGTTTATTTAAATAATTAATTTTTTTGTGAAAATAAGAATCTGTACATAAAGTTTTTGTTTAGAAAAGTGAAGTTTGTTTTTTCAATTTGTATTTTTAAATCGGAGTTCACAATATAAATAGTTTTTCTCAATTTTATCCCTATAATGCACTTATGTTAGTTATTCCTTAGTACGGCAGTGCAAGCGTTTGTGCTATTTTATTATTTTTTATTTTAAAGTTTACGTAAATTTCACTCTTTATTTTTTTCTTAGGTCGACAAGATGTGCAAAATGAAATCACATGTTTAGTGAATTTACATGGTGTTTTGTTGAAAAGCATTCGTTCTTTGAATATTGGATTTGGATTACCAATACTTTTTGCAGTTTTAAGTTGCCTACTTCATTTAATCATTACAGGTTATTTTGCATATATTGAAATAAGAGATGAAAATTGCAGCTGGAGAATATTTACCATGCAAATTTTGTGGATAATTTTTCATACCATGGGAATGTTAATTATTGTTCAACCTTGCTATTGGTGTATAATGTTGGTAAGTATATTAATTATATTTCAGAAGAATTGTTCTTATGACGCTTAAAAACTATAAAAATTTTATCTTAATGTAAGATAATATTATAGGGGAGAGCGGGGCAAAGCCGCTGATGTAACATTTATTTATAAATATTTTTGTTATTACACCTTCAATTGACGTGATTTTTTTTTCTATTTCATCTAAAACTAATTAATAACAAATTTCAATAGTAATTATTTAATTTATTATAAGCTTGATTAATTAATTTAATTATTTTCAAAGAGATGCAAAAAAACGGCTTTGCCCCGTATGGCGGGGGGTAGCAGGTAGAAAAATTATAGCCGTTAAAACTGTACGAAGTTGCAGTAAATGACCTAATATCTTTGAAACATAAGTATTTTATACATTTTTTAAAGAGTTTTAAGTTATTTTATAAAAAATATCAATACTTGTATTTTTAACCTCACATTTTGAATTCAACTCTTCACTTTTTCGTTGAAAAGTCTACTTTACCGACTGTTCAAATTCAAAAATAATTTAAAGAACGACGCGAAAATATTATGAAATATTAATATTATATTTACATAAAATTGATCATTTTTTTAATGTTAATAATAAATTTGAATACTAATAAATTAATTTATGTTCTAAATGAAATATTATTTTAAAATTATACTATTTTAATATATTATATAATAAATACAAATTTTTTACATAAAAATAACTAATTTCCTTTATTTTATTTAATTTTGTGAAATAATGTAACATAATAATATAGGTAATGTAAGATAATAACAATAATAATAAAAAATAATAAAATTGAAATATGTAATTTTTGAAAATAAATAAAAACAATTATTTAATATTATTTTACTTAATATTAATTTATTAATTTTAATTTATGTTTTGGTTAAAAAATCAGGTTAATATTTGTTGACACTTGATTCATGTGAAGTTAGAAAAACTTCAAATATGAAGGTAATGCAGATTTTCATTTTCAACTGTTTTTACGAAACAGTTTTTAAACGGCTTTGCCCCCAATGACATACATTTTTTATTTTTTAAATTTAATTTACTTAAATAAAAAATAAAACCTAAATTTCATGCAGATCGTGTAGATAAATGTTTCATTCATTCAAGCAAAAAGTTTTTAAGATCTAAGTGCTTAAAACAATTTTTTAAATTTGAATCTTCGATCAACGAAATTTTCATCTCTTCCTTGCAAAAACTATTTTTATGTTATATTTCCTAATATATTTAATATTTTTTAGCTGTTTCTTTTCCAATCTATTGCTTTAATCGTATTAATAATAAACTGTTAACGAAAATGGTAATAGATTATAAAAGAAAGAAGATATTTCGAAAAACGCCTTTGCCCCGCATAGCGGCTTTGCCCCGCTCTCCCCTACTTCCTCACCTTCTTTACTGGAGTAACGAAAATTGTTAAAAAAATTTTTTTAACAATATTCTAGAATAAAGAAACAGGAAATTTGGTCTGTAAATTGCTTACTCTAAAGAATAAACCATCTGTTTCCAAACGACTGGAGATATTTTCTTTGCAAGTGTTATATAGACCATTGGAATTTTCAGTATGTGGACTCTTTTTTTTGGATAGACATCTATGTACATCGGTAAATTAAATTTATTTAAGTCCATACAAAATCAACCAAAAAATAATACAATTTTATTTCTAGATAGCAGCTGCTGTTACAACATACTTGGTAATTTTACTTCAGTTCCAAAGTAAAGGAGATGAAAATTAAACAGAAAGTGACAAAACAGGTCTTCATTAAAAGGTAAAGTCCTTACTTTTCTTATAAAAATTAGAAATATTATTTAAGTAAATTTTTGAAAATCATATTGGCTTTTTTCATTTTAGAGAATAAAGAAGGAAATGGAAAAATTAAACAAGGATAAACGAAGTGGGATAAATTCGCGTCTGCGCAGAACACAGGAAAAGAAGATCATATAATCATCAATCGCATTTGAGTATTCTGCGTAGACGTAAATTTTACCTACTAGTTTATCCAGTTTCATTTAGCTTTACAATTATAATTTATCACCAATTAAATAAATTTTTTCTAAATTGACATTTTTATAATTTGAAATATAAATCGCAAATTTAAATTGTAGTCCATATTTACTTAAAAATAATCAGTCTTTGCTTCAAATTCTATAAAAATATTCTTGATGCTGTCTAAATTTTTTAAAGAAAATGTTTTATATTGAACTACATTTTAAAAAAATATATAATTGTTAGATTTTACAAATTACATTTAAAAATGTATTGTTTTAAAAAATTGACTTCTTATCCCATTTACTTTTCTAAGTGAATAAATAGTTAGCTCAAGCAGAATACAATTTTTTAAATTTAACAGCCTTGGTTATAACAATGAAAAGTGTTCTGTTACTTTTTTATTAGTTTTGAAAAGTTAATTCACTTTTCATTTTCTATTTATAATATTAAAAAATATTTAAATAAACTTTTTCAGCATAAAGATTGTTTCGAGGTGTATACTCACGAATGTGACAGGGACTAATTATTTAGTAAGGGTCCACGAACCTCCCTACCTTTCACTTTTTGAAGTAGCAGACCTACTACGGAGGATCGATTTATTTATTTTTCTTCCTTCGACTGCAATACCACAGAATCAACCAGAACACTTATATGGACTTCGTCACCACAGGGTTATACCGCTATGCAGCCATTGTTTTGCCAACGGTAAGCTTGAACGCAACAACATTAGCAATTCAAATTGTCGGCAATTTTTTCAACGCATTTTTGACCTCCTGTATCGGCTTCTTCGCTTTGTAAGGCTTTTGACTTTGCCGAATGTCTGTTGTTATTAAAACCACCCTCACCATATTAAGGACTAGGATGTTTAATAATTGCCAGCCTCCGACAATAAAAAAATAAATTAATTAGAATGTTTTATTTTAACAATTCTAAACATCAGTTTTTGCAGACAAATCATTTCAATTTAGAAATAATAAAATAAAATTGATTTAAAACCAGGGATGTGTACGGAAATGCTATTTTTGTTCTGTTCCGTGCCAGTGCCACGGAAGAAAAATGGTTATATATTCAGTTCCGTGGCAAGACACGGAACGAAAATGGTTGTATATTCAGTACCGTACCGAGGCACGAAATGAAAATGGTTATATACTCAGTTCTATACCAAGGCACAGAACGAAAATAGTTGTATATTCAATTCCGTGCCGAGGAACGAAACGAAAATATAGAGGCATTTATGTATTTTCGTGCTATAAGCACAGAATAAAATTAATTATTTGGGAATTTTATTTCGTTCCAAATACGTAAACAACAATAAATGAGGACAAATTGTCGGGCCTATTTACATTAAGTGGTCTTACAGACAAGGATAGCATTTCACAAATTTAAGAAGATATTATCTATTATAACATATTATATATTATATATAAAATATTATATATTATATATCATATATTATATATTATATTCAAAGATTTCATAGGAATTGGAAATTTTATACATAGTAAATAAATAAAATAAATAAGTCGCATACAATAAAAATTGTTTATCAACACGTTGACAGTCTATTAGATGTTAAATAAGATTTCCGAGAAATTCAATTGAAATAAAATAGATATAGACTAAATATACAGGCTGTATCATAACCAGTCACTATCAAGAAAATATATAAATCTTAAAATATTCTTTAACTTTTTACTCAATTATTATTCCCTATCCACAGAAAATTATAAGGTATTAAAATAAGCTGCAACGCTTATTATTTTAATCCAATTTTGCTTATTTTAATACTAAAATGGATTAAAATAAGCAAAATTGGATTAAAATAATAAGCGTTGCAGCTTATTTTAATGCCTTTTAATTTTCTGTGACAGCATCCGGATATTCAAGATATCCTATGGACGTCCTAGGGATATCCAAACTTCCGGATATCTCCAGGATACGATTAAGTAACGAGTTTCATGTAAATCTGATAATTTTTTTTAAAAAATCGTCTGACATATTGGTTCCGCCATTTTGAATTTTTTAAAAATTGATATCGGATTCTTAATTAGCGACCCCAAAAACCCTTAAGGATACAATGATCTGTAAACTTTGTTCAGTAGAAAAATATATAACTGAAAGGGTTACACGGTGAGCTTGAATACAATTTTAATCAAAAGTTTACTAACTGTAAATTTCTTTGCGGATTTTTAATCTACAGGTTTTTAAATTTATTTCCCAAAAAAAATTTAAATAATCGGCGGAGGGCTTTTTGAGAAAAAACGTATTACATTTTATTTTACAGAAATTGTAGTAATAGTACGCAATTTTTATATTTCCTCTGATTGTACTTTGTTATGTAAATATTTTACTCACTTCGCACATAATAATGTCAGATATTTTTCACTTTTATTTGTTATTGTGAAAATTAATTTTATGTTGAAAATGCCACATAAGGCTTTAACGCATAATGAAAATCGAAATAAAGTGTGTTTTTGGTGCTTTCGAAAACATAAAAAAATGTTTTCTATTAAAAGCACATTGAAAACGTACATTGCTAACCTAGTTAGCCCTTCGATAAATCTGGATGATGATACACTTCCGGCAGCCTTGTGCGTCTCTTGTAGAATACTTCTTTTTAACGCCAAAACTCAGGATAAACAAATAGATCTACCTGATTTTTCCATGTTTAGAAATAGAAATGTAATAGTAACAAGATCGAAAGGCAATTTGAAGTGTATGTGTAAAGTTTGTGAAATAGCACGAAGCCAACCTGTAAATTTTTCAAAAATAACTGAAGAAGATCAAGTTTTAGGTAGATATCTACATGTATATTACTTGTATCGACTTAAATGGTTTTAATTTGTAATTTTTTAAAAATAATTTTATATATATCTTAGAACAAACAACACAAAAACCCGTTGCTGAGAAACGATGCCTATCCTGTTTTTCTGTCATTGGAAAAGGAAAAGTACATAAGTGCAATTCAACCTCTCAAGTGACCAATTTTTCCTCTTGCTTATTAGAAATGCCATCAAAGGTCCAAAGTCAAGTAATTTCATCAGTGCTGAAGCAAAAATTTAACGAGAACAAAGAAAATGTTTCTTCCAATGTATCTTTGTCTCAGTTGCAAGGTCGACCTCTTCAAATTCAGTTTAAAAATACCAAAGATAATTCTTCTTTGAAGCGTCCATTATTGTCTGTAAATGATATGGCAAATATTCAAACTAATCTGAATTTAAGTAATCGAAAGATTAATTCAATTGCATCTGCTTTGCGTGTAGCATCTTGTAATAGGAAAGTGATTGAGTCCGGTTTGAAACCAAAGCTTGCGACTAAAGATTACTCGCTTGATAACTTTTTTGATTATAAAGATTTTGAGTTTGTGAGAGTAAAAGGCAAAGAAATTTCCGCTGATGCTAAAGTCGTTGTATATTGTAGCAATTTACAGGGTTTCCTCGAATATGTACAAAATCAGAGATATGTTACAAATCCTGTCTTAAAACTAGGCATAGATGGAGGAGGCGGATTTTTGAAGATTTGCCTTTCAATACAAACTCAGACCAACGAAATCAAACAGTCCAAGCGTTCTACTTATAATGAGGGCATCTCTGCAAAAAAATTTAAAGATTCCGGGGTTAAAAAATTATTTATATTATCAATCGCTCCAAATTCTCAGGAGAATTATGAAAACGTTGATCAACTTTGGTCTGAGTTGCGTTTAAATTCATTCGAAGGCACGATTGCAACTGACCTTAAAATAGCAAATATTTTAGCTGGTATTATGTCACATAGTAGTACATACCCATGCACCTGGTGTCATGCAAAAAAAGGCGAACTTCATAAGTGTAGCACTCTCCGATCTCCGCAAAATACATTGGAAAATTACGAAAAATGGCGTGGAAGTGGAGCAATAAAAGACAAAGCGAAGAATTTTTTTAACTGCGTTAATCCACCACTCTTCATGAGTGAGAAAGACAAGGTTTATTTGGATATTATTCCACCGCCGGAATTACACCTTATGCTTGGCGTGGTCAATACGCTGTTTTCTCACATGTTGAAAGATTATGAGACAGAATCCCTTGCTTGGGCAAAAGCCTGTTACGCGGAACGTGAAATCACTTACGGTGCACCAGCATTCAAAGGTAATTCGTGCAAAAAGCTTTTGAACAATGTGGATATTTTACGCAGCATGAAAAACATAGGTGTGATAAAATATGTAACAGTTTTCAATGACTTCAAAAATGTTGTATCTTCATGCTTCGGGAATGATCTTGACAAGAATTACAAAAAACACATAGAAGCTTTTAGAAAAAGTTATATGGAATTAGGAATTGAAGTCACTCCAAAGGTGCATGCAGTTTTCTTTCACGTTAAAGAGTTTTGCGAGAAAAATGGACTAGGCTTAGGATTTTTTAGTGAGCAAGCAATGGAATCTGTCCATTTTGATTTTAAATCTACTTGGGAGATTAACAAGGTTACTATTGATCATCCGGATTATCCAAAAAAACTTTTACGTGCTGTGTGTCAGTATAATAGTTTACATATCTAGAACTTTAGGTTAATGTGTTTTTAAAAATTCTGTTTATAAATTACAATCGTTTACATATGTTTGAAATCAATTAAAAAATATTACGATATTGTTGAATTCACATCTGCGGTATTAATATTTTGATAGATTTGTCAACATAAACAAAAATATGCAAAGTAGGTTTTTGTAAAAATAATAAAATTGGTTTTTCTCAAAAAGCCCTACGCCGATTATTTTAATTTTTTTTGGAAA